AACTATAGCTAAGCAAGCAAAAATTAGCAAAAACAAGCAAAAAAATCAGGAACAAGAAAAAACTAAAATGAAACTAACTACGGGAGAGGTAGGCTAGGAGTTGGTTGAGGATATAATGTGGTAGAGGGAATTATAATCCGAGCATAAAACCCTAAAGGGTTCGTGTGAGGCAGAATTCGATCTACAAAGTGGAAGGAACAAAGGAATAAAGTTTCTAGTGGGTCTAATGGGAATCGTAAAGTTTATGCGGCTCAGCAAGTCAGGGCTGTCTAAAACCCCTCTGATCAAGTTGTGCATAAAAATTACACCAAGCATTTTTCTACGATTAACTAAGGATGGAAGGTTTATTAGAAGGAGTCTACTACGTTAGGATGGCATTCTCACAGGTGCATCCCAGTTGAGGCCACGCAGGGCAAAAAGTAAAAAGTTTTTCTGAACTGATTCAATACGGTTTTAATGTATTGTCAGTTGTACTGAGGGCACCATACACATGAGCCGTATTCTAACATCGGACAAAAAAGCGAGATATAGAGCGTCTTCGTTATATAGGGGTCATCAAATTGGTTTGACCACCTCTTTATAAACCCAAGCACACCCATGGCTTTATTTACCATGGTGGAAATGTGTTCAGAAAACATTAACTTGGGGTCTAGTTTAACACCTAGATCATCAACCAATGTAATTCTCTCAAGAGAACTACCACAGAGGGTGTAAGGAGCCATGAAGGGGCTGGAGCGATAAAACGTCATTATATGCACTTCGAGGCATTAAGGTGTAACGTATTTGCACCACACAATGACTAAAAGCTATTGGATCTGATAGCAAGCGAGAGTTAGATTAAATGTCCTTATACTGGACGCAGAGCTTAACATCATCCGCATACATAAGTACTCGAGAATTTGTCAATACAGAAGGCACGTCATTAATAAAGAGTGTGAAAAGTAAGGGGCCTAAATGGCTACCCTGTGGTACTCCAGAATTAACCATAACAGGTAAAGATAAGGAGTTTTTGAAGAGGACTCTTTGAGACCTAGAATACAGGTAGATAGAAATCCATCTCAACAGATTGGGCGGAGACCCTAGAAGGTCAAGCTTTTGTGCAGAAGGAGAATGGTTTACAGAATCGAATGCCTTACTGAAGTCAGTCTAAATAACATCCGTCTGCAAGTTACCTTAGAAGCCTTTAATGGCAAAGGAGGTAAACTCTAAACGATTAGTGGTTGTTGATCGTCGCCGTATAAATCCGTGCTGAGCTGGAGATATAAGTGATTTGCAGAGATGTTGCAAGTGCGGAGTTAACATTTTCTCGAACATTTTAGGAATAGCGGATAATTTAGATATACCTCTATAGTTTTTAGCGTCAGACTTGCTACCTTTCTTATGGAGAGGAATTATAAAGGATTCCTTCCAGATGGGGGGAAAGCTAGAAGAATGGATGGATAGAGTGAATAATTTAAGCAAAGGTCCGCACAGAGACTCGGGACAGTACCTGAGTATACAGCCGGGAACTCCGTCAGGGACCGGTGAAAATACCGGCTTAACTAATTGAAGTTCATGAAGTAAGGAGCTTTCATTAAACACAGGGCAGAAAATGCCATTTGACCTTGGTAAACTATATGGATACACATGACCTGGGTAGCTTTCCTGGGAATAGGTTGTTTGAAAAAAGTTTGCAAAAAGATCGGCGATTACCTACCTGATCATTGTTTGATAGCGAGGATGGACGTGCGGACGTTCTACGCTTACTGTTTACAAAGCTGTAAAACTGTTTAGGGTCCTGTGAAAAACTTATCCTGCATCGAAGGAGGTCGTTCCTATTGCATTTAGCATTAAGAACCGTGCAATTTGACCGAGCTATTAAGTAATTAGAAAGAGAAGAGGGATAGCCAAATTCTTCAGATTTTGTAAAGTCTTGATTTTAGGTGATTTTTGGTGAACCAAGGAGGCTTCGCAGATCTAGTCGGACATGAGAGTGGAACACATGAGTCAGAAACTGTGTCAAGTACATTGTAAAAAATGTTTGTGCCTTCAATAACGTCAGTGCACCAGTACAGAGCGGACCAATCAAAATCCCTAACTAAGTTATTGAGCTTCGTAAACTCGGCTTTACGAGAGCAGCGGACGCGTTCAGAAAGCCTACCCGCACAATCCGATACAGTAGGTCCAATATCTACCGACATTTCGAAAGTAGGATGATAGCAGTCTTCAGGTATAGTGAGCGGAAGTGCTCGTGTTAACAACGCTACGGTCGGATCCGAGACAAAGCACATATCAAGCAATCGACCCAAGGAGTGTTTTTCACATGGTTGACTTGAGACAGGGACTGGTCTAATAAGCCATCAATAAAATCATGTCGTGACATGGGAACAAGGTTATTAGACTCGTTAACCGAAGACCCAACAGTACCTGGCAGGTTGAAATCCCCAAGATATATTATATGGCCTATATATGAAGTCGGTGGAATATACGAGCAAGTGACATAAATAGACTGGCCGGGAAGAATCAGTCTGACACAGAGGATTTCCAGGTCTTGTGAAACCAGGACTATGAAAAGTTCCCACGTGAAGTAAGAGTCTTATGCAATCAGAACCCCTCCTCCACGTCGAGACGAACGATCATTTATATAAATTGTGTACCGATCTGCCAAAACTTCGGAACTAATAATGTCCGGCTTTAACCAGGTTTTGGTAAACACAATAACATGGGATGAAAATTTAAAACTATCCATAAAAAGAGTGCTCAACTTACTACATACATAAGCCGCGAGCATTTTGATAGGCTACAAAGAGGGAAATTAGTTTTTTGACTGCGAGGAATCGCAGTGGGAAGAGTTAGATGGAGCAGAGGAGGAAGGAGCAATGGCCTCACTACTTGGAAGAGTTATGGGGGGACTATTTTTCTTCTTAGCCTTAAACTCTTTCACCACCAGGGGCTCTGGCCAAAATTTGGAAGAGCAAATGGTCTCGAATTGAGTTGGAGATACGCTAATCTTGAAAGAAGCTATCTCCCTGGCATAAAAGAAATTAAACATATCCACCTTTAATGTAGCCTCATGTAGACGCGAGTAAACAAGTAGGGCCTATTTACTTGCTCAGAGGGAAGGGGCAATATTTGTTCACAGTACAGCCAAAGCATTTTCCAGTGAAATATGTAAATGTTGTGGAAAGTTTCCTGTAGGTCTAATGCAAATTTCCTCCGAATAACCGGCAAACAATACAATTCAAATCGAAAAATTTTGCATACGTATGTATGTATGTGTTTGGAGGGATAGCAGATAAATACATACATACGTATATATACATATGTATATTATACTTGGGAGCCGATGCTCGCCTGCAGTGGTATTGCCAGGCAGCAGAAACGGAAGTGTGAAGCACATACACAGTCCACACACACTACAACCGCAGATGAACAAACAGACACCCATACACATGCACACACACATAGAAACACACGCATACTTTGAGGCCGAAAAATGTGCATGACTTGTTTAGTTTGTAAAAGTTGTGTCCGCCCAAGAGCCACCTATTTGCTGCTGGTGCTGCTGCTGTCCCTAGCAACCGAACCCGCAGCTCCTTGTTTGCCTGCCTCCTGGCTTCGGAGACCTTTGACTTTCTTTTAAAACAATTTGGCTTTGTGTGCTATTTTGTCTGTGTGTGTGAGTGAGTGAGTGCGTTCATGTGGTTGCTGACACAAACCAAAATTTAAACAAAAGAAAAGCTGAAAGCATTCGGCGCTGCTCATGAGACAAACCAACTTAGGCTGTTGGCTAACGGAAACCGCACTCGCACACACATGCATATATATACCTTCAACCAATACACTTTAACCATACACTTGCAGGCACACTCACATATACATATACACATACACATACAACCTTTCACTGCTAAGTGACTCTTGTGCTCTGTTGTTCCTTTGAAGCAGCAACGGGTAACGGCACCGGCAACGTTCACAAGAACTGAAGTATATTGTTAACAGGATATATAATACACAAAATAAAGTTTTCAGCCAAAGTTACACAAAAGTATTTTCCAAGTTCTCCTCGCTTCGCATCCTCTCATTCCTTCTTTTGATGCCACCCACATCAGGTTCCAGTCGGATTCGGAGCTAGCATTAGCTGCTGAGCTTGGAGCTGAGGCTGGGCTCCTGAATCACCTTTCGCTCGATTTGTTTGTTTGATTTTCGGTATTGTTTTACTTTTGTTGAATCTACGGCCCCACCAAAACACCGGTCGTCTAGAAGAAGTAAACACAAAGTAAAGGCCGCTGCCTGTGTACCTCGTGTCCAGCAGTTTTCGACGTTTGGTTTGCGGAATGTTCAAATTGTAATCCAACAAACTGGCTCAAACTGGGTTTTGATTCGCTGGGCTAAATCCACAGTCGTAACATATCATTAGAGGTCTAAAGCAATAGCAAATAATTTTTTTCGCATATGGTTGATGGTTTCGTTAAAGGGTGGAAATTAAAACAACAGAATAAAAATATCTGAGCAACACCCTGTAAGAAACTTTCCTAGTAACACTACTCGACAAAATTTCTCTTTTTATTTACGCCTTGAGCCAACCCGATTTTTATACCCGGTACTTGAAGAGTAAATAGGGTATATTGTATTTTTGCGAATACCGGTTGTATGTAACGCACAGAATGAAACGTTTCCGACCCCATTAAGTATGTATATTCTTGATCAGCATCAACAGCCGAGTCGATAGAGCCATGTCTGTCTGTCATCTTGTTTAGCGCCTGGATCTCAGAGACTATAGAAGCTAGAGCCAGTAAATTTTGCCTCCAAACTGCTCATACTGATAAAAGTGTATTTTTTTTTAATGGCAAAGATAATTAAAACCAGATGTAAGATACCTAAGCTATGTAAACAAAAAAACGTTACCTTTAAAAAAATCTTTAAAAAAATTGCAGCTTATTTTTAATTCTTTAAAACAAACTTCTGTCATAGAAAAAAATTGTCATAAAGCGTTTCCGCTTATTGGCTAGTGCAATAGTTCAGAGCTCAGAGACTCTGCAGAACAGGATGATCGTCGAGAAAGGACCCTGTATATCTTTAGCGGCAATAAATATATAGTAGTCATTGAGAGCATAGTCTTCTTTTCATTTCTGATTCGGACCACTCTCAACTCCCAATAATTTGAGTCGCACAGAGGGTAGCCTCCCATGAGACACCGAACGGTGACACATCGAGGGATAGGATACGGATGCCTCCACACCCGCCATTCATCACAGCGTTCCACAGTAAGCAATGAACACAACTCGCCAATGGGTCGGTGCTATGGCAAAAAATAAACTGTAAAGTGGAGACGGGCGACGAGCGACTGGCTGTCAGCTGGCAGGATCTTTACGAGTATAGAAGCATTCGAACGGGGCAAAAATAAATGTTTTCAAATGTTTGACGCGTACTGACAACAAATAAGCACATCCGATGGGTGGAAAGGGGGCTAAGGCCTCACTCGCACACACTGATACATACTCGTAGCCTCATTCCGCTTTTGTCCCTGTGTGCGTGCGTTTAATGTCCGTAATTTACCGTTAAGTAGACAAGTATTAATGGTAAAATACCAACGGAATGCGTGGCAGAAACGCAGCTCAACAAACATACAAAACAGCCCCATAAGAACCGGAGACAAGACGACAGCAGTCAAACATCCAGTCTTGGAAAGCCATGAAAAGGACAAGAAGCAGCGTCTAAAAACAAAATGGCGACGAGGACAACATCCGTTTGAGTTGACGTTGAAGTTACATGTTAACTGTGGCAGTGCCACCTCCCGAAATTCACCCCCACAGTCGAACGGCCCAACACACTACCACACACACCAGCACAAATAAGCAATTGTCATTGTGGCGCGCGCATGTTGCCTCCGCAGAAGAGATGTCAAAAAAAAAAGAAGTGAAGAACGAACACAGAGAAAAAACGGCAGGAAATTCCAAAGAAAACTCAACTTTGGATTGTTGGCATTTCTGTTGTGTGCTTCGAATTCTGAAGATGGCATAGGGGGGAGCAGGCTTTTGGGAATTGTGGATTGGGGAGTGGGTAGTGCGGCAAGCGACTTGGGATAGGCAAAAAGGAAAGGGAGAAATACTTGCGCGTGAAACTAGTAGATAGGGCGAGAGGCGAATGACAGGAAAGCAGGAGCGACAAAACAAACGCGCCATTTTCCTGACGTTTAGCAATTTGACATTTTACGTGATTTCGGACCGAGACATCCCGGTCCCGGTCCCGGTACTCGCTTTTGTGACTTGCCATTTGCCGAAAATTACAAACTGCCAAACTGTGTGCACGCTGCGCTTACGTAATTGAGTTCGAAGGCGGCCATCTCAACCACTGAGCCAAGTCAACTCCAGACCAGGCCCAGACCCACCAACCCAAAGCCTGCAACTAAGACAGAGCGAATGCCTAAGGAGGAGGACAAGGCAAGGACCAAGCAGCAAGCAGTTGAAGTAAAGCCGAAGCCAAACCCGGAGCTGGAGCACATTTTTCACAATTCATTTCATTTAGCCGCGTTCGCTGTGAGGCAACATTATTACAAAAAATATTGCCCAGAATAGGAGAAGAAATGAAAGAAAAAATGGCAGCATAACTTAAGGCGCTTTCACATGAACACACACAAACACAAAGCAAAAAAAAAAACCAAAAAAAAATAAAAATGGAGCGCTTTAAACGCAAAAAAAAAACGAACAAATGCTGCTGGATAATTTCATTTTTTGTTTGCCTTTCGACCCACGCTCTGGCAACATTTCAAAGTCGTCCGAGGACGAGTCCTCGTTGTCGTCGTCATCTCATCCACATCCACGTCGTCATCATCATGGTCGTACTCGTATTGGATGTGACTAGACTAAGATGGATTAAGCCCAAGTAGCGCACCAGCAGCATTCATCTCCTCTGCCAAGAAGAGCACTGCTCGAAAGAGCACTAAACAATTTTTCTTGATTTCTTTTTAGCATTTCGCTTTCTGCTCGTAACCTCCATCAATTCTGCCTCTGTGTTCTGCACACTGCCACTCACTGCCACTGAATTTTGTCTGCGTGTGCGCGTATGTGTCTTTCAGCATTAGAAAATAATATTTTATTCGCTTCACTTGCAATTTTTCTTGTAGTGTTTGCGCTTCACTGCTCCACAACTCCGCTCGCCGTCCCTCACTGGCTGCACATTCGTGTACGTACATGGATGTATGTCCATGAGGGAGTTGCAGAACGAAGCGCCACCATATTGTTGGAGTTGTTGATGTTGAAAAATGTTACATGCCAGAAATTGCTGGTTACCCACATGGAAATTACGTTGCATGTTTCATTGAGGAAGACCAAGGCGACCTCCTTCCAAGAACTCGAAAGGCCATCAGCAGTTTTACAGGACATGCGAACACTTATCGTCTGACGTTCGTCGATACATTCTCTTATTGCTTTTTACTAATGTTTTAAGCTATGATTCTCCGTACATGTTGTTTAAGGTGTAAGTCTACTTTTTGGCGGTTTGGTGAAACATTTACGATACATCCAGTTGGGAACCACCAAACGCTATGTTAAGATTCTGCACCTAGTGAATTTATAACGAAAAATAAATGTAGTTTACAACGAGAAGGAACGTGTGAGATGCTTTTTAAGCGTCACAACTTTTATACCGGGACTCAGTAGTACAATTCTTTAGTCTTTACAATTAAATTTTAAATTTGTTCGACATATTGTATGTATATTATCTACATCTACATAACTTCAACCACATAACTTGTGGACGCGACACAAACGTTCCAACTCGTTCGAATTTTAAATTACAAATTGTTACAAAAAAATTCGGTATTAAAATATTCTTTTAAATCAATGAATATGAATTTATTAAAAAAACCTTTAAGAGAAAAAACCCTGAGAAATATATTAACTTCATATTAAGTGCCAAAACGTCACTGACTTTTTATTCCATTTGGGACTGCAATAGACTTGTTTAAGATTAAAAAGTGAATTGTATTGAACACAGCAGATCGGCCGTGCCGAGGAATATTTGCACCCGGGGAAAATTGCAAAACTGCGCCAGCAAACACTTATTGTAACCACAACCTTTTATTACCGGTACTCGAAGGGTAAAAAGGGTATATTGTATTTGTGGGGAACATTGGATGTATATACCGCACAGAAGGAAACGTTTCCGACCCAATAAAGTATATATATTCTTGATCTGCATCAATGGCCGTGTCGATAGATCCATGTCCGTCTGTCCGTCCTTATCAGCGCCTAGTACTCAGAGACCAGAGATAGGGCAACCAAGTTTTGCATTCAGACTTCTATGTGCTCACACTGTTACAAGTGTATTTAAAAAATTATCCCCTCCCTCTTCCACCCCTACAAGGGGCGAACATCTCCCACAGCCACAGTTTTAAAGATAAAAGAAAACTGAAAACGCCATTTCGTAGGGAAAATTAACTAAATTAACATTAGACTGGATCATATTAGATCCAGGATGGAGAAATTAATTTACAGTGGCTAAACCCTTTTTTTTTTTTTTTTCCCCATTTTCTCATCCACGCTCTGCTTCGCGTGTTGGCGTGAGAAGTGATCTACATTTAAATGGCATATGTAAAAAAACGTAAAATGTAAAATTTGAAAAAATCCACTAAGGTACCGATGTACTCCTGAGTACCGGGTATAAAAGTTGTGACGCGTAAGAAGCGTCTCAAACGTCCCTTCTCGTTTTTTATATCGATATTTCGACAAAACGTATGTTACTCTGAAAAAAACATACCCTGCATCCTTTGTTTACTTTGTTCTTAATTCATTCAGTTGTGTTCAATTTTAATTTGTTTTAACTTCAACTTGGCCCCCCCTTGGCACGATAGTGCAGCAGATGAAACATCTGTTCACATGAAAGTGGACTTCAGACTTCAGACTAATGCATATGCGAAATCACTCATTTTGGGAATAGTTTCGTTCCCATGAAAATACAGGCCCTCAATTCGCAAACGATTTTGTTTAACAGCATAGCTCGGTGGGTTTTATGTATGGTGAGGACTCGCATTTAATTTTCCAACTATTCACTGAAGCAAAAATGCGCAATATGCGTGGAACATGAGCTCCTGCTGCCACCACACACATCCCCGCTCCACACTTCGCGACCACGCATCAAACCATACGTTGCATCACTTTGGCTTCCACCAACCAAAATCAATTTTATTTGAATTTAACAATTTAACCGTAAAACCACAGAAAGCATTTTAAACGCATTTTTAATAGACTCAAATATGTGTTGCATAAAACGCAGATCCCTGGCCCCACAGCACAACGTCCGCCATCCAGATATTGAGGCATGGAACGGCCAATGCCGAGCATCAATCCCGCCGCCGCATGCCGCCATTTTGTTTTGTTTGTTACAAAATTTTCAACATTACAAAGCCATTGGCATCGCGGCAGCAAAAAGCGCGTTAAAATATCGTTTGCTTTGGGAGCTCCTCGTTGCCCCTGTCCCCTGGACCCCCTCTTCTATAGGTTCTTGCATTTTATTTTGCTGATGAAAAATTAGTTTTTCCATGTATGTACATAGATACATCCTGTGTATGACTGTGTGTGTGTTTTTTGAGAGAGTGAGTTGCCTGTTTGCACATTGTCTGCATACTTTCGGCGCTGGCACAAAGTCGCGTGCCCCTTTCTTTTGTTTACCCACGAGTACCCGAATGGCAAAGAGCTTAATAAGCATCGATTGATTCTTCATGGGATAGTTGATGCCATTAAGGTTTTTCCTTAACAACAATGTAGTAAAGCAGATTAATTTTCGGTTTATATTTATGCACAGAAGATAGAGAAAATAAACTGCAATATAGTTTGCAATAGCTTATTTTTGATATAGTATCAAAAATAAACAAAATCAGATTTATTTAACTGATTCCTTTACAATTTGTAGATATGTACATATGTATGTATGTACATATGCATGTAAAAAGTATTATGAATTCAAAAACATCAAACTTTTCAACTACTTTTTTCTGTACCACACTTTCTATGGGTGTAGGAATGAACATCCAAGAGAGTGGAAAACACCCACATTGAACACACATGTTACTCGACCCGAAACCATAACGCCAACTGACCATGAAATGAAAGTGCATAAAGAACTTGTATGGATCTGAGTCTGCTGACAATTGCACGTTGTGTGGTCGAATTAAAAAAAAAAAAAACACAGAATAGAATGTTTCCGCTGAAATGGCCCCAAATGGTTTCAACGTCCAGTCTTTTCATATTGCATAATGGAGGGTTAGTCAGGGCAACCTTTGAAACGGTTCGCAGATAAATGAGAAGTACATCATGGGCAGAAGTTCTTTTTCCCAGATGAGAAGTATGCTTTGGAGGCCGTCTGGTTCTCGACTAGCGATTCCTTGCAGCGATGCGTTAAAGCTGCCACGTGTACAAGCCATGGATGGAGGTGACGAAGTCCCGCCTTCTGCTCTGACAATTTCAACATAAATTTCGTCAATTTTTTCTTCGACAACTACGTTGAGGAGCTGGGGGGACGCGCCATCTGCCGCCATGCAGTTCAATGGAAGCATATTGTCGGTTCAGGGCGCCATGGTGGGGGGCTTGTGCGTCACCTTCACTATTGTATGTACGGAATGAACAGTATGGGTGAGGGAGGCCATGTCCGCGCCACAGGATGCACGGACGGCCATCGA